GTGTAAATACATAGAGAAGTTTTTAGATTCTCTCTTAAATTACTTAGAAGTTTAAGAAAGTGCCTTTCAGTTACTAACAATGTGTTTAAGCACATTACAGTTGATTATACCTGATGTGTTCTTGAATAAAGTTAAGCTTGCATTTTGAACTTGGTTTTTTGCATTCAAATATCAAAATATGAAAAAACGCGGAAAATTTTGCAAGCACTCAACTTTGAAAAATTCTAGTGCAAAAACGGGCCGGTGAATTCCATTGAAACTTTCCAAACATAAAGGCCAATGTTCTGTTCATCGACTCCTAAAGTTTGATTAATAAATCTCGTTAACTGTGAAAGTAGCGATTTTTTTGCCGCAGTAAGAAACAGTCGTTTGAGCCATCCTAGGGGCGTGATATTGGCAGGCACCTCTCTTCCGCTAGGTATAGCTTGCAAATGACTTTTCTACAACATTTTTTATCGTTTGGCAAGACAACGTGGTACTGAACAAAAGCAGTTCGTTGCCTTCTACTTGAAATCTCTGATAATTTTATTAGTGAAAAATAATCTAGAAAGTTCCAGGCTAGTTAATTGGTACTTCACATAGTGCACACGACAATGAGAGATTTGTTTGGTGCCGTGTGTAAATTGCAAGCGGCTACTTTGCACACGGTACCACACTGTATGAACCATCTATTTAATTGATTTACTCGAGCAGCTAATCAAAGTTGTTCGAAGTGATCCGACGAGAACCAGAACCGAAGTGAACCGAAAGTGCGAATTCAACAATTAATACCCGAGCCTGATAGTAACATGCAGGACAAAGGTGAGTTGTTTGGTGGGTTGTCTATGGATTGCTGCTGTAAATTTTAAATGTTTTTTTATCGCATCGATCGCAGTATTTCCTGCTAAACACTCATCTATTCTAGCGCATAAACGCGCGCTCTGATGAGCCGCAGAATCTTTAGCTTTGGGATGCTGCAAAAAAATAAGCGGATGTTCGACTTAATCGATTTTTTCACAGTTATAAACATGGTTTTTTGTCAATTAGCTCCCAAAGTTTCAATTGTATATCCCTACTGTTTTGGGAGTTACGAGTTTTAGGAGCGCATCGGCGCCGCAGTTATCAAGGCGCGCGCTTCAGTTTGCGATCTCAAGCTTGGAAAACTCTAGGAAATTAATCGCTGCTGCCATTTTCGGGAGATTTTCCCCATTGACAGGCTAGTGTTTTCCAAATTCGCCCCTAAAGTTTCACTTTGGTAGCATCTCGATTTTGGAAGTAATATTTTTGTCCACGCGTAGCGGCTGTGTTGGGTGACGCACTACGCGCACTTTTTAACGCAAATTTTGAAAAATTCCAGAACATTAACGGCGTTTTCAATTTGATTCAAAATTTCACCCTTTATAGACAAGTGCTTTGACAATTAGGTCCCAAATTTTCAGTTCCCCACTTGCTCCACTTTGGACGTTATTAATTTTTAAGTGCGCAGCGACAATATTGAGCGACGGGCGCTTACTTATCACCCCAAAGTTTGGATAATTCTAGTAACTCAACCGGAGGTCCGATTTAATTGATATTTGCTGCACTTATAATCCAGGGTTTGGCCAACTAAGTCAATTTTTTTCGTTTCTTTCAGGTGCCAAAGTCAGCTGCTGCAGCAAATCAACCTCAGGTGAAGATTCCAAGAAGATACCTGCAGCTTCCAAACGGAGCTGTTGCAAAATTGAAATTTGCTGCTTCGAAGGAAACTGCTGCATCAAGTCTGCATCACGCTCCTGCAAGGACTGCAACTGC